ATCTTCATACTCACCGCTGTGAGAACCTCAAATCTTACAAGCACTTAAATAATCATACTGATGATTAAACATTATTTTACAATAACTACACTAATTATTCAATTAACTTACCAACTGACGCTTTGTCGTAAGCCTTTGAGCCAACCTGTGATGAAAATGCTGTCACAAGTAGAACGAGAAACAATGCAAGATGGCTGTCCATTCCGTCTCTCCCACCTTAAAAGAATAAAAGATCGTGAATGATTATTCCGTCCAGCCTATCAACCACAATTCTTTAAAAATCATGTTATATAAACTTCGCAGCTCTTTACAGATACATTTTCCAATCCGATTGTCAAGAATTAACCCCAAGGCATTCTGTCACAACTTAAAATTTTGATTATAACGTTATTGTTATTATAATTTTACATTGAATTACTAATAAAATAGAAAACATACAAATATAATGTTTTCACCTTCGTCGTATCGTTGATTTGAAACTCTCCTATAAATTTGAGGAAGAAACATATTTTAAACCGATTAAAGCGTTAACTGAAATTAACCTATAGAATAACAGTTACAATTTTAAATTATCCTCTTGTTCGTGGTTTTGTGTGTCTGAACTCCTGCTTCAAAGCTCAACCACCTTAGAAAATATCTCACTGAGTTAACAATTCAGATACTCTTCCTTACTCTCGCTGCGAGACTAATCGAGACATTGAAATGAATTGTTAGGTTATGGTTTAATGCCCTTCTCATTCTCCATTACATTAGCGGGACGATAAATGTACATCAGGTGATCAGACTATTGATTGGTAAAAATTACTTCCTATTTTAAAAGTCTGTACAGGCGTTGATATGAATACTAAGAAATCCAGGGGAGATATCTATCAGAATGCGTGAGAACTCTGCTAATACAATTGATGTAAGTATGCACGCAGGCATATCGTTATCATCAGACAGAGAAACACTGTTTTAAACACAACTGTGGCTTTTTTATTATCAGAAACGAGATTCTATTCTACAACTTACAATACATAATTAAGTGACTGAGGATAATATCTGGATCTTCGCCAGAGGAAAACATATAAAAATTCCTAATGAGCTTAATAATAGCAATAATAATGTGACTGTCGGGGCACGTAGCTCATATGAGGGAGATGAAAAATATATACGAATTTTTTGTTATTCGTGTTTTTTTTCCGTCTAATCACAATTGTATATAAATAAAATTTATACATAAGATATTAAAATATCATTTACATATTTGGTACATCTTTTTACTACATGTTTCGGTTACATTGAACCATCTTCAGGTGTAAAGTTAAAAGTTAAAAATTATAATACGTCAAAAGACTAACAAATGCACAAAATGACTGCTCAAAGATTTTTATGGCGAAGAATCAGATAGTGACTACGGTTACCTAAGCGCGTTGTACATTCATACGTAATGTTTCGCGCAAAGAATTCAACATACGTAAGTAAAAGTGTTTCAATTGAATCCAAACACATTCAAGTGACAGAAATCAAGAAAAACAATTAAATATGCAATATGAATTGAAAGTTAAAAATGTTTTCGAAAATTAAGCAACAGTTCGGACGCATTTAAAGTAGCGTACAGATGGCAGCATGTGTAAAAATAGTTTACGAATTTGACTGTTGATGGCGTGGTGTTTCAGACAGGTAAATCAATAAAATTTCTCCGCAGCGATTGGCTGACATCAGGGCACACAAACTCACGAACTCTAACGGAGAAAAAACTAAACTGAAAATTACGTGTTTCGATTTGATTGGATAGACCTGAATATCAGCTTTCAAATACGTGACATCGACGTCAGCCTCGGAAGTGAAAGTCAGTCGTTATTGAATTTTGTCGAGAGTCAGTGCAGTCTCCGTGACTCAATGTTAGCCTAGGAACTTAGCTAAGAGTAATTAACCTTCTTAATTTCAAGCTTTCGTAAGTCGGTAATCAAACAAATATGTTCATCGGGATAATTAGCAACATTTATTTCTTGCGATATATATGAAACTACTTTGTGCTTCGTAGAGTGAAGACGAGAGGACGGTTCCCTTCCAGTGACGTGTGCAAGATGGAGACAAGTACAACATTTCACCTTAGGTCTGATGTATGTGTACGTGTGAATTGCAGAGATGTGACATTAAACTCCGTGAATTACCTTTCGATAATACACGTCTGCACAAAAGAGGCGTGTGTTTCCTATTGTGACAGCCAAGTAAACTCCAGATGTACCTGGTTCACAGAGGATGGACGGGTCTAAATGTGACGTTTGTGTGCATATGTATACATATTTATATATATTTCTGACAAGACGGATCTTTGTAATATCCCGATACATTTTACAATAAAATTTTGACATATGTACTAATACTTCTTAAGCGTAAGTAGACCTCAAATGCAATTCATCAACCATAATTGCGGAAAAATCTGCATAAGTGACGTGAGCCAAGTGTCTTTCGAGTTTAACCAAAAGGTAAATAATGTAAATTCTTTGATGCGTAACGCTACGGTTGTGACTCAAACACAAGACTGTTCTATGTTGTGAGAATATTGAAATATTTGAGTGTTTAATATCCCACAATCGACAATAGAACTCATACGGTGCCACAACATAGATGATTTGCATCACGTCACTGCGCATCAACTTCCGCGCAGGTGACCCATTACCCTAACCTAACCTAACTAACGCAACGCAACCCAACAGGGGTAATCTGCGTCAGATGAACATGGCGCCCTGCGCACGAATTTTCGAAATAGACCTAGGATGGTCGGAAATTGCTGAAATTTTGAATGGACGTCGTGCCACAGGTATGTAATAAAAATTCATATTCTTTAGTGCCACAAC